TGCGACCTTGGATCGTGTTGTCCGGGCCAGACTTCCAGGTTCCGATCAAAGAAGGGAGGCCGTCCGTTCTTGGGACATGGCTGTGTTGTTGAGCAGAGAACCTTGCTTGGTTTGCTGTTCGGTTGTGTTTGTCACGAGTGCCAACATGTTCAGAATGGGGTTTGGTGTATGTTGCTCTACCAAGCGGCAGCTGCATGCCCGCCAGTTTTGGCAGCTACCGACACACTGTTGGCCGGCTGTGGAGCGAGGGCAAGGGCGCCCGGGTCCTGTAGTCTGGCCAGCGGACATCTGGCTATGACATCTGGACACATGCGCTAACGTGCCAGGTGGCCCCTCTCGAAAATGACGTAGCCTGGTTGGAGGCCGAAGAATGGTGTTGCTTGCGCATGGTGTTGAAGTCCAAGTTAAACTTGTATCTCAACGATTGAAGTGAACGAGTCGCTCTTTGACTTGCCAGCTCAGCTGTCATCTTAATATTCCCTGTGAGCATGGCGACCCACCTTGGCCGAGTGGGGTGGATTTCAGCAAATGGGGGAGGCCGCTAACCCATGATTAGGCTATATCTCTTTCTGCTGAGCACATGCTTTCTGGTTTCTTGGATCGACGACAGAGGCAGAGTGCCGAGGCAGAGTGCCAGTCGAACCTCTTCGGTGTTGCCTTACCTAAGGAGTAAACCCCTGCCCCGTCGGGGTTGCTCCCCACACCATTGGCCATGTGTGAGGCGTTCGGTGTTGCCTTGTTGAGGCCAACCTACCCCAGGGCAGGGGGTAGATGACAGCCGGGCTTATGGGCTAATGCGCCGTGCTGGGGCAAAGGCTGGATTTTCTGCGACCTTGGATCGTGTTGTCCGGGCCAGACTTCCAGGTTCCGAACAAAGAAGGGAGGCCGTCCGTTCTTGGGACATGGCTGTGTTGTTGAGCAGAGAACCTTGCTTGGTTTGCTGTTCGGTTGTGTTTGTCACGAGTGCCAACATGTTCAGAATGGGGTTTGGTGTATGTTGCTCTACCAAGCGGCAGCTGCATGCCCGCCAGTTTTGGCAGCTACCGACACACTGTTGGCCGGCTGTGGAGCGAGGGCAAGGGCGCCCGGGTCCTGTAGTCTAGGGGGGGGGGGTTGGGCCAACGGCCAGCGGGCATCTGGCTATGACATCTGGACCCTCCCGAAAATGGCGTAGCCTGGGTGACCCAAACTTTTCCATGGGAGGCCGAAGAATGGTGTTGCTTGCGCATGGTGTTGAAGTCCAAGTTAAACTTGAACCTCAACGATTGAAGTGAACGAATCGCTCTTTGACTTGCCAGCTCAGGTGTGCCTGAGTCCAGCTGGGACGAGTGGCAGCTTCGAACCAATCGGTTGTTCCAGGAGAGAGCTATCACTGCTACGCAGCACTGTCGACAAATCAACTTCATCGCCGATGGGTCTGCTCACAGCACCAGCGATTGTCTTGTGACAGTGGCTTGTGCGAATGAGATTTCTGCTGCAGTGTTTGCACCCATGCAAGTGATGAAGACTGGACAAGTTTCTCCACAAGACCGGTTTGCTTCCTCATATATCAAAGCGAAAGAAGCTGGAAAGGATTGCTGCATTCAGACAGCTTCAAGCGATCAGTCACCAAATCTGGATTTTGCACAAAGGGCGAATGGATTTGGGCTCTTTTAAGATCGCCCCCTCTCTTGGGCAGAGGCCTGTGAAAAGATATGAAAGCAGGGTGGTTTTCCAAGTTGGAAAAGAAGACAATGATATTGACCGCTGTTTTCAGTGGTTGAGGGACAATCCGGATCCGGCTGAAGGCAGAGTGCCAGAAGGCAGAGTGCCACCAGCTTTTCCTCATGTCTCCTTTCTGAAGACAAAGTCTGAGGATGGAGAGATCACAAATGGGCTCCCCGTCTTGCCAGAGTCAGAGAAGTGGTGGCTGAACATTTGACTGCTGGTCTTGGGCCTTGACCAGGGCAGCATCGGACTTGCTGGCATGGCCTATGCTATGCGTGAAAACATGATTCATGTGAAATGTGACAAGATTCACAGGGCCATTCGAGATTTCAAAAACAGCATGTCGAGATGCCTCAAAGGACTCTTCCTGAAAGCACAACTTCACTCCTCTTACATCTTTGCCCTGAATTGTAAACCCTTTGGAAGTGGTGGTTTCTACCAGCAGAAGAAGGATATGCTGGAGAGTTTTGTTTCCTGCACATCACCGAGCAGAAGCTTGTTGTGGGACGCTTTCCGAGAGAAGATTGCCTATGACTTAGACAGGGAGCTATCCGGTGACGAGCATGAGATTGAACATATGCTTGCAAATATCGAATCCTTCATGAAGAAGGGCAGCTTGGTGAAATCATCCAGATGGTTCAGCTGGAACCAGCTATGTTGTGAGCAACTTCATGAGTTTCATGTCCTCAAAATGCTGCTGGCTGATCATTTCGGTGAAGATCAATCTTTCAGCCCTTGCTCAAGGGAAAGACTCAGCCTGTATTCCAACTCGGCGAATACACAATCGGGCAAGGAGCTCTTCGAAGGCAGAGTGCCAGAGTCCGAAGGCAGAGTGCCGGACTCTGACAATGGTGAGAGGCAGGAAGATGCACTGGGTGATTTGCAAAAGCTGTCACAGGCTGGTCGTGCCACTGATCCACGGAAAGAACTCAGCTTGTTGAAAGCCAGCATGGGGGGCTTCAAGTTGGCATACTATCTCATGACAGAAGACCTTTTCGATCACTCCAAGATATTGTACAAAGTGACCGAACCGTTGTGGACATGGTATGGGAAACAAGTAAAAAACGTTAAATCGCCGCAGGATGGTCGAGGTTATGCCGAGTTGATGACAGTGAATGATGCCTGGAAAGCAGACAAACATTTGTTGCAGATTGTCTCCAACCTGCAGAAGACCGAGTTGTGGAAGGAGCATCTGGATACTGATTTACACGAGCCCGCAGAAAAAATCATGATGTTGAGCTTGCATTTGCTGATGAACAGGGTCTGGACTTGCAGTCTTTTTTCACTTCCACCAGATGCCTATGCGGGATTGCTGTCACCTGATGCAGAAATTCGGACGATCACGGCTTTGAAGGCAAAGCGCCATCACAGATCACTCTTGAGGTTGGAGTCGACATTGGCACAGTCCACTCCAAGTGTTCATGCCCGGCAACTCTTCACAGACCTGCAAGTTGGAACCAGCCATCCTTAGACTTTTTCTGGACACATTGGAGGCACAGGGATATGAAGTGTCTCCTCCGGGGTCAGAAGATATTGTCGTGGATGATGTTGACACAGAGCAGGACGGGGAGATGGAGGATTCTGTGCCTGAAGAAGCAGATGACGGTGCCGGAGTTGGTGATATTTTTTTGACGGGCAAGAGGGCAGAGTGCCAGCTCAAAGAACTGTAACAATATCGGTACCAGCATGCCCTGCAACCCACCTGCTGAGTGTTCTGGTGCAGACGCTGCTAGATAACAAGGTTGTGGAAGATGTGCACAACAAGATTCGCAATGATTCTTTGTTGAACAAAACCCGCAAGCAAACATACTCCACGATTCAAACTGTGATCGAGAATTCAATCGTTTTTGAAAGCCGTTCAATCAGGCATCCGGCAAAAGTCCAACGGGAATATTTTGAAAGGGAGTTTTGAAATGTGGACAGGAAGCGCCAAAAGTTGTGCTTCAGAGGATGTGTCCACAAGCTGCCGTCACAGTATACGGAGATTGTCGGCGACAAGACATGGGAACACCCTATCAGAAGAGACACTCGGCCGAGAATCAGCTGCGTGGGTCATGGCTAATTCACTACAATGATGCAAGACTGGCATCTCAGCAGGTTCCCTTGCGTGCTGGGAAGTTTAGCAGCCTTGCAGCCCCTTTGAAGATCTTGAACCATGTCTTGGATTTGACATGCTATCTCTCTCTTGGGGCAAAAACCTGGGCTGCTCTCATGTGGCCAGTGGTCCAGCATGAGGACCAGTCGACAGGAGAGATATATTTTGTTTTGAAGGCAGAGTGCCCGGCTGGTGACAGCGTCAAGGCCTGCTGGATTCATTTGTATGAGCCCCAGTATTGGGAAGTCATCGAAACAGAGGCAGTCTTCTGGAATGGCTTCATTTGCCTCCGTCGTTGTGCTACAAGCTCAGTGTCACTTCTATCCTATATGTTGCAGCATCCCAAGTGACATGTTTTCATTTAGGATTCTGTCAACTGTCGATCCATACAGTCAATAGTTCAATAAACTTATATAAGTTTTATTTCTCCAACAATCATTTCAACAGATATTCCCACGAAAAGGGGAAAATGTGAATATGTGAAATTGAATCCGAAATATATTGAATATGAAGTTGCAGTCACTCGCACAACCCTTGCTTCATTTTACTCTAGAGCGCGGGGACTTCAGAGCACGTCAGCGGTGCATGCACAAACACAAAGGCAGTACACGATGAAGGGCTCTGCATCGTGAAACAACAAGGGTCGCACACCTCGTCGTCACACAAAAAACAGAGCTCTCTTCATCACCCGGGCGGGTGGGTGGGGCAAAATTTTGCCGGCACTCCCTCCTTGAGAGTGCAGTTGCTGCACGTTCGAGCAGTTCACAAAATTTTGCAACCAACAGGAAATAAAAACATGTGTAGAAGACCGTGAGACAACAATGCCAGGACAAAGTGAGAAAATCTGTCTGCGCGCCCGACATGAGAAATGTACGTGCGCGCGTGAAATGATGTGGCGAAATAAGGTGTTCGCCAGGCAAGCTGGAGATAGCACTTATTTCTCCAACAATCATTTCAACAGATATTCCCACGAAAAGGGGAAAATGTGAATATGTGAAATTGAATCCGAAATATATTGAATATGAAGTTGCAGTCACTCGCACAACCCTTGCTTCATTTTACTCTAGAGCGCGGGGACTTCAGAGCACGTCAGCGGTGCATGCACAAACACAAAGGCAGTACACGATGAAGGGCTCTGCATCGTGAAACAACAAGGGTCGCACACCTCGTCGTCACACAAAAAACAGAGCTCTCTTCATCACCCACCGCCGACTGAGAGCTCTGGCAAGAAGCACTGCAAAGCGAGAATGATGGATTGCAAATCAATCTCGTCGCGGCGAACACCCGCCAGGTGACTACAATCATCACGCGAGGGGCCATCAGCAATGTTCGCAGCACTGCTCACCCTTTCGAACCATGGGAACGAGGAGGCACGTTCCTCCCAATCACTCAACCATTCCGACAGGGCTGAGAAGTGCACGCAAGGAGATTTGCCAGCAATGAACGCAGACTTGGCTGCTTCATTATCGACGAAGCAAACGGCCTCAGAGCCTTGCACAAGGCTGTTCCACACGTGCAACGCGACCACTACTGCCAAGCCTTCAAGAAAGTAGATGGGGCTCTGAACATCGCTAAACCTGAGGTCCTCAAGTGCATCGTCCTTAAACAAGCAACTGAAGAACCTAATGGGCTTCCCATCAGGTGCAACCAGTACCCCTCCTAACCCACAAGTGCTCGTTTGGCCATCACCGTAGGCCGCATCAGTGAAGATGAACCAAGCGTTCTCACGTCTCGCAGATATTACCCTTGGGGGAGCACCTACAACCCTATCCTTAAGGAAAGTGAGGGCTGCCTGTAAGTCGGAATCCATGGCGGACCCCCCAATGAAATCTGCGCGCCGCGACAAAAGCTGCATGAACCTGCCGCTTCGTCGCCCATGGATCTGACCCTCAACGAACTGCAACCTTCCCCTCAGCGATGTGAGCTCATGTTGCTCCACCCACTCGAGACCGAGTAAGCGCGTGATGGTCTCGTCAAGTTCGGCCTTTCGCTCGGGGGTGTTCTCCACCACGAAGACTCTCTCGGACTGAAAGCAGATTTTGACTCCAAGAGCTCTCGCAAAGTAATCAAAATCGGATTCTTTGTCCCGTGCCACGGTCCATCCAAGCAAGTCCCAAAAGCAATTGAGAACCATGTCAAGGTGTTTCGTGGACGACGCCTCGTTGAGGACGATAAAGTCGTCGTAAAACACTGTCCAGTGGATCAACAGCAGAGCGCACCCTAAGTGCCACAATCCCATCGTGCTGCGGCAAAATGCCGCGACTGAAGCAGATGATCCGAAGGGTAGCACATGGCAGGCGTAGATGGATGGTTTGCCCGTCTCTGGGTTCGGCACACACAAGAAAGAATCCTGTATGGCGTCAAGGGAAATGCCGAGTTGCTTATACGCTTTATGCAGGTCTATGATTTTAAGTTTTGGCACGCTGGCACGGCCGAACCTCTCACGGACCCTGAGTCTGTAAGCGATGCCCGCACAAACCACATCCAAGCCGTGAGGTTGAATCGACTCGGTGCGGGAAACGGTCGAGTTGATAAAGGATTCCGACAGGTTGTCGATGGGCCTGACTTTGCGCTTCCCACCGGACCGCTGCTCAACTCCGAACCGTCTGCTCAAGGAACAAGTTTCGCTCAGTTGCTCAAGTGGCACGGGCCCTTCGAGCCACCCGCGGTCTACCTCTTCCTTGGTAATGTCGTGAACCTCCTGCGCGAGCTCGGATGAGCACACACGTTCGGTGGCGCGAAGAATGCCTGCACGGACTGCGCTGGCAGCGGCGCGCAAACACTCCTTGGTCATCGACGCCGGCTCCACAACGGGTTTGAAGAGCCCACCCGACGCAGGAATCGGACCTGTCAAGTCGAAGCCCTCCCCAATTTCGGACGCAATTGAAGAGTCGCCATAGCCACATGCGACGAGCATCTCGCCGAAGACCAAAAGCCGCTTGCCCTTGAGGACGGCCTGAAGGTGTTTCGGCATTCTATCATGGAGAGCCCTTTCCTGCGGAGCCAGCTCCTGCGCTCGAAGCACCCATCGCCTAAGGACCTCGGTGCGGTGTTGCGCTAGGCCCACTTCTGATTGCTCGACAGTTGCATCGATCGCAGTTTTGAGCACAGGCGGAATTCCATCAAAGAGGTGGCGCGGATGCCCTCTCTTCGCTGCCTCCTTGGCGAAGTCGCATGGGTCCCAGGGTATGCCAATGGTCATGCGAACCTGAGGGACATTGCGAGGAGCAGACGGCACCTTCGAAAAGGCAGAGGTCCAAGGCAACGGAAACCCGCAGGACCACAGCGTTTGCTCCTGCGTTGGGGAGAGATCATTTTGCACAACCGCCGAATAAGCAATGATCGACCACCTGTCGCCGACCCACGGCAGGGTAGCATGCCTTGCACGACCATCGAACCGGCACGGTCCCAAGTTGAGAGCTAGACAGTCTCCCCACAGCCATTCGCCTGTGCACGGGTCCTCAAAGGCGTGGGCCCCGCCTTCTGATTCCACAAAGAGTTCGCCTCCGGAGTAACTTCCCAGGCCGATTGCAAAGTTCATGGTTCCCGGCACATTTGCCGAGTCCACGTGCAGTGCCGAGGACTCGTTGTGAGTGACGACGAAGGCAGACCACGATGCATCCGGGAAACATTGCAGCATAAACGCATTTATGAAGGCAGCTGTGCTAAGGTGCTCACCTGTGAGTTTGGTAACACCCTTCCTCGGCAAGCACTTGTAGGCGCCCAAAACAAAGTATTCCACAGGTCGGCCGTCCTGAAGAATGCCCGCACGCCTAGCTTCCAAGGGGGTGTTGAATGCTTGCTGAAGCACCTGAACACACATTTCGGAAGACAAGTCACCCTTGCACAAAGCATCCACCGCCAGAGCTGTTCTCCGTAACCGTTGTGTTTAGGAAGGGCGCTGTGAGCGAAGTTTACAAAACTCAGTTCCCTCATCAGAAATTTTATTGCCCAGAAGATATGTTGGGCAAACGGAAATATCGGCGGAGGTATAAATGCACCGACAGTATCCCCGAAGAATATATGGGGTATAAATTCTCATATCTTGCTTTCGCCACTTGCGACTCCAATCAAATGTATCCTCGACTCTTCGTGAAATATCTAAAGATATAGCAACTGCCGAAAGGAGCACGCAAGCTGTTTTCAAACGGGTGGCGGCAGGCTCACGCAGGCATCTAATTCTTGAACAGGTCTTTGACGTGTCGGAAAGGCGCACCTGTGTGCCTTTGCCCCCCCCAGCCCACGTGGTTTGAGACCATAGTATCTACAAGGGAGTGGAGGGTGGGAATCAAAATTTTCTCTGCTCCTGAGCCTGAGCTCTGCGTCCGTGATAAGCAATGAGACTGTGCGCGCACTCAGCTTCTGACCTAATTCTGAAAAGCGCACGAAACGTAAAATGAAATCGAAACTCAAAACTGTAAAATAAAACTTTTCTCTTCGAAACTGCGGAGATCTTCGAGGTGGTCTATTCAAAGGAACTCCTCCTACCCACAGAGACACCCCGCCCCGCCCACCCAAAACGTTTACTCTAAACAGTGCCGCCGGGCAAGCCCGGCTGGGCCTGTTCTCCGTAAAGAGTGGTGTTACGACAAGAGCCCTTGCACCTACCATGGAGAGCAGGCGCGCAGGTCCCTCGCCGCTGCAGGTTCATGTCGTCTCGTTGTCCATTCGTCACTGTGCAACGAAAGGCTCGGCTGTACAGCAAGAGAGACTGTAACTACGACTCGCCTTGCAACTTCCACATTCCCCCATGCAAAAGTGCAAAGCGAAGCATGATGGTCAAAGGAGAGTATGTACTACAAAGCCAGGTGTCATGAGATGACAGAGGCTGCTACGAAGAGTCCTCGGTACCATACTTTAGCATGTGTGACCAAGTTGACTCCAGGAGAAAACTACAAGACTACATACACGTCAAGGCTACGCTCGTACTCAGTGGGGCTTGCCGCAGGAACTCAAGACTCGGACCACAGCAGCCACAGCAGCCACAGCCCAGCAGCCGCCAGCAGCCCCAGCGCAGCAGCCGCAGAGGCCACAGGGGAGCCTCGACGAGGTAGCACAAGAAGGTGTTTCAAGCTTCCAAACGCTGCCAAGCAAGCCCAGCGTAGAACGGTTTAGGCAAGGCTTCTTCACAGCAGGCTGTAGAGAGCATCACCACTGTCTCGAGGTGCACCGGATGGTGCTCAAGCACAAGGAAGGAGAGCCCGCCTCTGTCGGGGGTCCTGCACTGCGAGGGCAGTCACTGCCCAGGGGCCCCGGCCCCACATATCGAGTGGTATTAGTTGTGAGAAAAGTCCTGGGGTCAGAACACTCGCCAGCAGCAGCTTCGCTCACGACGTGAGCATAGCCGCGCTCAGCCAAGGTTCCGAGCTCTCACCAGGTGCACCTGGGACCCCTAAGGGGGAACGGAGGGGCCTAAACCCAACGGAACCCAAAGGGGAAAGGGAGGACATTGCAGCCGCATAGGGCCTAGGAGCGGGATCTCCAGCCGCAGCAGCAGCTTCGCGCAGCAGGGCGAGGCCGCGCTTGGCAGATCGGAGTTCGCTCCATTGACACAAAGGAAAGGTGGGGCCTAAACCCGAGTAACCTGAAGAGGAGGAGCTCGCGGGAGCTCATACGGGCATTAAAGGGGTGGGCCTAAACCAACACTAGGGAACCACACGAGGGGGATGGTCAAGCAGGCAAGGCACACTGCGACAACCAGGTTGGTTGGAGCCCTACAAAAACCCATCCTAGGGAGGGGAATCTGAAGGTTTGAGGTGATCGTAAAGAAGGGCAGATGACGCAGCTGCCGCCGAGATGGCAGCAACTTCCCATCGCTCAGCTTCCTCAAAGCGGCGATGCCACTCCACACGAGAGGAGCCTTGGGCCCGCGAGTCACGTCGTTGGTTGGCTGCCCGGTCGGCCTTGTCGTTCAGGTCACGGCACCGGCGATCATCCAAGCTGAGAGGCGGTTGCCAATCAAGTCGTTTGTTGTGCGAAGGGACCCACACCAGGTGGACAGCCTTGTAGTCCTGGCGGAGTGCCTGTAGCAAAGAAGCCGACTCCTCCGCCAGGCACCTGAGCTTGCTAGTGCCGGGATTCTGAACAGAATCCAAAGCACTTTGGCAATCGACCAAGACGGTCACAGTGGAGTTGTTGTACCGCTGCCCCCTCGGTAGAGCTTGTAGGAGGGCATTCAAACCGACCATCTCGTATCGAAAGGGAGATTGGTCTTCGGCATCGTCCCCTGCGGAGAAGGTGTCTTCGGAACGCTCCGTCACCACGGCACAGGCACCTACCCCAAGATGATGGCTCCCATCACTGGCAACAAGAATGTGGCCGGCATCATGTGTCAGGACCTGGCAGAAGTGGTCACGCAAGGCCTGAATCATGGCTGGGACCTGGTTGCCATCAGGGGCAGCTGGGTATTCCGGCAGGGGGGCTCCAAACAGCCTTTCTTCTACTCTGTTCGCGGGGGCCCGGAGACCCTGCCTGTGCACGACTGTCTTTGGGCATACCCACGTAACGTGGGCTCGCGAGGGCCAGGAGAGATTGCACAGGCATTTGACCTCAGAATCACGCCCAGCAGGGAGGCGCTGACGGTGGTACCAGGCCGAACCGCCTGTGGCCAGAGAGGCTCGGCGAACATCAAGTGTCTGACTCTGTCCGAGAAGTCTGTGGCCCGCCAGGGCGAAGCGGATGCTCGGGCACGGTGCATCAAGATTTAGGCCCATAGCAAGGCCCGCCTCTGCACGGTGGTAAGAGGTCTTGACACGTCCACAGCTTGCGATGCCTCGCTTGCGGTGCTCTTCGGTGAGCCAGTCGCGCAGAACTTGGCTGTTCTGCCACCCGAACCAAAAACGTCGTGTCTGCCCGGCATCGTCGACTCGAGAGATGGCGGCGCCATTGAGTTCAAGTGTCCAGCCCAAGTCGGCGGCGGTGCTAACGGCATGGGGGAGGACAGCCTGCACCGGGTTGTCACTTTGAGCTGCACCCCTTGTCACATGTCTCCCGACTGCACATAAGGCCCTCCATTGCAAAAGCCATTTGGGGTCCCACTGCCATCCGTGGACTTCGGCTAGAAGGACCCACGGAGTTTCGCCTGTGATCTGAGGTTTGAGGGCTCGGTGGACCGACTTCCGGATGGCGGTGAGATCCTTCGTTTCCGGGGCTGCAATGCCTGCAGCCCAAGCCAGAGCAGCGAAAACCAAACTGGAACACACGACCCTTGCCACACCGAAAGAGGGGTTCAGGATGTTTAGGGCGCGAAGGCGAGCCTGGAGGGTGTCAACACTCAGCTTAAGTAAGCCGGTTTTTCCACTGTCAAGCTCAACAGTGAGGCCCAAGATTTCCAAACGGTGACGGGTCGGATATCCCAACTGTGCCGCTAGTGTACTTAGCTTGGGGCGGGCCTTAGGCTCGGCAATCGCGCACTTTGAGGGACGACAGGTAAAATTCATGACCTTATCAAAGAAATTGCTTTTCGTCACCCCATCCGCGAGGGCCGCCTCCACGTCTCTGGCGCCTGGCGGCGCCCATAGAAGCCTATCATCCACAAAGATAAGCGCCTTAGTAAGACCGCCACGGGTGACGTATGCATGCCAAACGTTGCCGATCAGAAGGGCGCACAGGGGAGAAAGAGGGCACCCCTGCAGGAGACCTTTGGTTGACGTCCTCCACCTTTCATTGGTGACCTTAGAGACTTTAAACAATCTCTGAGAGTCGCTGTAAAAGGAGGCCAGCAGCCTGCCCAGGCATGGCGGGGCCCGCATGTGGTCAAGGATGGTGAGCAGCTGTGGGAGCCTGATGCTGTCAAAATACGCGGATAAATCCTGCTGTATGTAGGCTTTGGCACCCTGGTGTCGGCTCTGCAAGATGACGCCATGAGCGTCAGTGGTGCCCTTGCCTGGGGCTCCTCCAGCGGCCTGGGGCGAGCACCACGATGCAATCCACGCTTGCATACGCCTGCACAGGATGCGGGCACCCGCGCGCCAAAAGAAGGATGTCAGCGCTATGGGGCGGTACTCAGTATGTGCTTTAGGGACAAGTACTACCAACGCACGTCTCCACAGCAGTGGGACGTGCCCACTGGAGAGCACAAGTGTCCAGAGTCGTCCCAAGGAGTCCCACCACTCAGATGGCAGGTGCAGGGTCTCGGCACCCCATTGGTCGGGGCCGACGGCCTTGTGGGACATACTTTTGACCGCATCAAAAAGTTCCTGCCCTTTGATTGTCAAGTCCACAGAAGCCTGAGTCGGCCTGGGGAGGGCACTCAAGATTTCGGCCAGGTCGGCCTGGTTTATGGGCTCGGAATCGCAAGACCACTTATTCATCCACACCCTGCTTTGAGTATTGACGACAGAAGTGGGGTGGATGTCAGTGGGAGCCTTGGCCAACTCGCAGGGCGGGGTGTCGAGCTCGACACGGCGCGCGGCCCACCGCTTGACCCAGGCAGTGGCAGCAGTGACATTGTTGGTTTCAGTCCTCCACCTGGCGATGCGGATCTGCTTTTCCTGGGCAGTCAAGTCCGACCGCAAAGCTTCAACACTAGCGAGAGTGGCGTCAAGATCATTAAGGTCAAAGAAAGGGCAGTCAGGGAGTCTGCGACGCAGGTCCCCGCATTTTTTCCGTATCGCAGTCCTTAGGTTTTGGTCAAAAGGCTGGCAACGGAGCTGTCGCAGTTGACTGTCCAATTTACGCAGGGTGTGCAACGTCAAGGAGGCATGACCTTCTGTTGTGGTGTGGTGAGGGCGGCATACGTTGCGCACAGGGTCCCAGAGCATCGCACGGCCGACGGCCTCGGCACAGCTCGAATCTCCGGAATGCAAGCAAGTTTCGGCCACA